TTCCTCTCTTTTTCCTTCTCCTCCTTTTCTTTTTCCTTTGCCTCCATTTCTCTCCTGTGGGAAGCCTCCATTTCTTTTTCTTTTGCCCCCATTTCTTTTTCTTTTGCTTCCATTTCTCTCCTATGGGCAGCCTCCCTTTCTTTTTCTTTGGCTGCTTGTGCATCCATCTCCATCTGTCTGAGTTCTACCCGTCTTTCATGTTCCTTTTGTTTTTCCTCAGCCTCAGAGCTGGCTAATTCCAGCTTCTGTTGAACAGTGCAGTCTGTCATCCTAACCACTCTGTTTTTAACCAACTTTATACCCGAGAGTTAGAAAGAAAACAAACAAACAAAAAACCTGGCTTGTAAAATTTTGCTGTGCTGTAACCTGATACCTTTTTCTCTGATAGCTACAGAAAAATCCTTTTGTTATGCCTGCTGCTTTGTCCCCCAGGCAGAGAGACAGAATCTACAGCTGCAATCACCTTTTACAAAACCCTTTAAAATCTTGCTGTGCTTCTGGTTCAAAATGATCTCTGGTTCAAAATGATCCCACCGCTCTGCCACCATGTCAAGGTTCCTTCCCCACTCTGAACTCTAGGATACAGATGTGGGGACCTGCATGAAAGACCCCCTAAGCTTATTCTTAGCTTAGATTAAAAACTTCCCCAAAGTACAAACCTTGCCTTGTCCTTGAACCGTATGCTGCCACCACCAAACGTTTTAAACAAAGAACAGGGAAAGAGGCCACTTGGAGATGTCTTCCCCCAAAATATCCCCCCAAGCCCTACACCCCCTTTCCTGGGGAAGGCTTGATAAGAATCCTCACCAACAGGTACAGGTGAACACAGACCCAAACTCTTGGATCTTAAGAACAATGAAAAATCAATCAGTTTCTTAAAAGAAGAATTTTAATTAAAGAAAAGGTAAAAAAATCACCTCTGTAAAATCAGGATGGTAAATACCTTACAGGGTAATCAGATTCAAAACTTAGAGAATTCCTCTAGGCAAAACCTTAAGTTACAAAAAGACACAGCTTATTTTACCAGCCATTAAACAAAAGAAAATCTAACGCATGTTCTAGCTAGATTATTTACTAACTTTACAGGAGTTGTAAGGCTGCATTCCTGATCTGTTCCCCCCCCACCCCCCCCAGATTTGAAAGTATCTTGTCCCCTCATTGGTCATTTTGGTCAGCTGCCAGCGAGGTTATCTTAGCTTCTTAACCCTTTACAGGTGAAAGGGTTTTGCCTCTGGCCAGGAGGGATTTTATAGCACTGTATACAGAAAGGTGGTTACCCTTCCTTTTATATTTATGACAGTTGTTATGAGCCAGATTCAGCCTGGGAAAAAAGACTGGGGGAAAAGTCTGTGGAAAAAGGCTCCATGGATACCTCTCAGGAGCCCTGGGCAACTTTGGGTAACAACAAGGAGGACATTGTTGATGAGGAAGAGGAAGAGGAGAATGAGAAGCAGGCAAGCAGAGGATCCATTCTCCCTGACAGCCAAGAACTTTTTTTAACTCTGGAGCCCATCCCCTCACAGGACCAATTGTCGGCAGAGTATGATGCCAGGGAAGGCACCTCTGGTAAATGCACATTTTCAGTCAGACCGTAGGGGTTACATGCTATTATTTTTAATGTTGAATCTGCATTTAAGAATTGGGATAGAAGTTATTGGTGGCCACTCCAGCTATGCAGAGGGTGCTCTCCGAAAAAGACTGCTTATGTGCCCAAGGATGGCCTGGGAATCCTCCATGGAGGTACTCTGCAATCCTGTGCAGAAGATTTCTGGGAAGGGCTGCCTTATTTCGTCCACCATGGTAGACACTTTCTCGCACCACTCCAGTATTAACCCTTCTGGCATCATTGCGGCACACAGTACTGCAGCATAAGGACCAGGTCTGTACCCAGACATTTGCAGCATCTGCTCCTTTTCCACCTCTGTTACCGTCAGGAGTGTGATATTGCATATAGTCACCTAGGGGAAACGGGGGAAGTTTTAAATGCTAGCCCTTAAACCGCAAGCAATTCGATAAATAATCCGTCCCCTATCTGGTGAATTCGGGTCACACAATGACACTTTCCCAAGCATGCCCTAGTTGTCATTGGAAGAGATCACCGTGTATTTCAGCCAGCATTTAAAAAGGAGGGGGGGTGATGCTTCCTGTTTGTCTCCCTTCCACCGCAGCCCAGTGCTGCTTTTGTAACAATCAAACTATTTGTGGGGATTTATGCTGGTGCCTGTCATCAAGCACTATCCAGGTTGCTACAAGAAAGGGGGTTGTGCTGAGGTTGCAACCATTGATCCCAAGGATGTCTTAACAAAAGCTGCAGCACTAGACCTCTCACCCATGCCTTGTGGCCTTACTCACCATGGGCGTAGCAGCAAACCAACTCTTGCAGTAGCCTGTGGTTGTGATTACATTGTGGCTTGCAGGGAAGTGAACTGAGGGGTGTTTCTTTTATAAAAAGATTTAACCTTGCACCATAAATAATGTATGCACTGTCAATGCTACCCTTGTGCTTTGTATTCTTTGCAGCTGAAACCTTGTCCGTAGGCGCATCCTCCACACCAGGACAGAGACTTTCCCAGATTCAAAGGTGGAAAAAGAAGACTTGGGAGGACATATTCAATGAGTTAATGTGCGTCTTCAAGAGTGACAAGATGGAGCTCAGCCCATGGAGGATTGCACTGTCGGAGAGCCTGCACAATGACCGTGAGGACAGGAAAGCATGCAGGGAACACAAGCGTGACACACAGGACAAGATAGTGTGGATTATGAAGGGGCAATCAGACATGTTGAGGCATCTGGTTGAGGTTCAAGAAAGGCAGCTGGATGCTGGAGTCCTGCTGCAGCCTATGCTGAACCTGCTGCTATCGTTGCCAAGTTCCACATCCTTCTCCTGCAGACTGAGGTGTGTGTGTGTGTGAGTTCGGTATCCCTTGCACTCAACACCAGGGTAGGGTACAAGGACCAGAAGGTGCCCATTCCCTCACATTTGATTGTTGTTGCAGTGTAATTGTAAGCAAGCTGTCCTTGTTTCCCCTGCCCCCTCAGTGTCATCTTACTTTTGCCCCAGGTTATCTTACTTTTCTTTGCTGCCTCTCAGTGTTTGTGAGCATAATAAAAATTAATGGATTGAGAGAAAAGGCTCTTTATCCTTTCAGCACACTGTGGTTAGTGGGGGTGTAGTTTACAAGGGAGTACATGCAATGAAGGGGACAGCTAGGTAAGGAACAACACACATAAGTGTCACAATACTGTGGGTCATTGATTAAACTAGTTTTCAAAGCCTCACGGAGATGCAGTGCGCCTTGATGTGCTCTTCTTACTGCCCTGGTGTCTGGCTGCTCAAAATTGGCTGCCGGGCGATCTGCCTCCATCCCCCACCCTGCCAGAAACTTTTCTCCCTTTGTTTCACAGATATTATGGAGCACACAGCAGGCAGGAACGACAATGGGAATATTGCTTTCACTGTGGTCTAGTCTAGTAACCAAACTACACTAGTGGGCTTTTAAATGCCCAAAGGCACATTCCACCACCATTCTGCACTTGCTCAGCCTGTGGTTGAACTGCTCCTGCCAAGGCTGCCTGTGTATGGCTTCATGAGCCATGGGAGCAAAGGGTAGGCTGGGTCTCCCAGGATCACAACTGGCATTTCAACATCACCAATGGTTATTTTGCAGTCTGGAAAGAAAGTTCCTGCTTGCAGCTTTCTGAACAGACTGGAGTTCATAAAGATGTGCGTGTCATGCACCTTTCCCGACCATACCACACTGATGATGAAACAGCCCCTTTGATCCACCGGCACTTGCAACATCATTTCAGTTTATGTACTCTTTGGCAAGGGGGTCGGGTGCCAAGATAGGGATATGCATTCCATCTATTGCCCCACCACAGTTAGGGAACCCCATAGCAGCAAAACCATCCACTATGTCCTGCACATTGCCCAGAGTCACTACCCTTCTTAGCGGAAGTCTGTGGATTGCCCTGGCAACTTGGATCACAACAGATCCCACAATAGATTTACCCACTCCAAATTGATACCCCACTGACCAGTAGCAGTCTGGCGTTGCAAGCTTCCACAGAGCTATCACCACTCGCTTCTCAACTGTCAGAGCAGCTCTCATTTTAGTATTGCTGTACTTCAGGACTGGGGAATACTTTTTGCACAGTTCCATGAAAGTGGCCTTGTGCATTCAAAATTTCTGCAGTCACTGCTCATCATCCCACAGCTGCATAACTATGCGGTCCCACCAGTCAGTGCTTGTTTCCCAGGCCCAGAAGCAGTGCTCCATCATGTAAAGATCATGCACAACTGTCGCCAGAATCTGCAAATTGCTCCACTCCATTGCTTCTAGCAGGGCTGCTTGCATGGCATCACATTGTTCTGTGCAGCGGCTCCTGCTTCAGCTGAGCAAATACAGCAGGATAAGGCGTGAGGTGTTTGTAATGCTCACAACAACAGTGTACAGCTGAGTGGGGTCCATGCTTGCTGTGCTATGGCATCTGCGCAGGTAACCCAGGGTTAGGAAAAAAGGCACAAAAAGGCTTGGTTTTTTTGCTGTTGATTTCAAGGACGGAGGTAGGGAGGGAGGTAAGTGCATCATGGGAGGCTAATGCCACGTTCCCATAACCACCCACGCAAATGTTTTGATCCCATGAGGCATTGCAAGCCCAACCCAACATTCCACTCGGCTCCATGGACTGTGGGATAGCTACCCACAGTGCAGCGCTCCATGAGTCGTTGTAAGCCCTGCTAGTGAGGATGCGCTCCGCTGACACAATGTGCATAGTGGGGACATGCAGAATCGACTGTCTTAAATCGGAGGCTCAATGTCGACTTAAATAAAATCAACCTAATTTTGTAGTGTAGAGATAATATTACCCATTTTCATGCTGTGGCTCCCACCTCCATTTTTTATATGAGTATTAACCTCATTTTCTGCAAAGGAGACACAGGTGACCGAATTCAGGCCTTGGCAGGTAAATGAAGATTGAGCTGGTTTTTAGCTATCTTGTTTTAAAGTTAATTTATTTGTATTTATAAGTCTACACACAAACACATTGGGTTACAGATTTTGGGATCTTAAACAGCTTTTATAAAGGAAATGTTACTTCTTGTTCAACTTTAAATAAATAACTTAGTATTTCCCCATGTCCTTTCACCGGTTTCTAGTGAAAATCGAGTGAAGCTGTTTCAGGAAAACTCTGGCTGTATGAATAGAGTAATTGAGAGACTAAATATCTTTATAAAAACAGGGTGGATCAGCAATCCCAGTGACTTAAGTTCTTTATTTTGCAACAAAATGCTTTGGCTCTTATAAGAATCTAATCAACACCAAAACTTATTGTATAATACGTTAATTTTTAAAAGTTGAAAACACCATCTCCAATTTAATCTGCCTTTGTCTGGCACTGAATAATGATATTTCTAATTACTACATTTACATTTGATGGTAAAAAACCTGCATTTTCATAGAGCATACAATTAATGTTGGGATATGTGTCCTGCCAGTAGCAAACTGATAACCTGGAGGATAAAAATGTTTTAAAAAAAGTTTGTGGAGTGTTCCATGTACAGCTGCGGCCTCATAGGCTGTAATATACCAACAACTTCTTAACCTTAACAACATGCTGGCCAAATAATACATGACTTGATACTCCAAAGAGCCAATTATCTCTAGAGAGATGCTGGGTGACGGGTGTGAAGGGTGCTGGTACTTTGCAGGAGGCACGCAGACCTCTGCAGGATCGGGCACACCATTTGTAAGGGGATCGGTAACACCAGGCAGTTAGAGCTACGAGTGCAGCTCTTCTAGTTAAAACCAGCGATGACACATCTCTGTTCTTCTCATGGTCCTTTAACTGAGTTGGATCTTGCTCAAGGGCAAAGCCTCCATTCACAGTAGGTGGAGCACGATTGAGCCCAATGAACTATTCCCCTTGGAGCACGTTCTGTAATGATGCTATAATGTAATAACTGGAACAATTTGGAGGCTGCAATAACAAACCAATCTTTGCATTCCATATTGTATCACTGTCAATTTAATGGGACTAAACCCACGTCAGGTTTGCTGGAGGCCTCACAGAATTGTGCTTTGCAATAATAATAATTGCTTTATGACAGTAACTGAATACAGGACTCTGTTTTAATCAAGGGAGCTACTGTATTACATTTGGACACAATAGACAGTTACTGAGAGTATATCATACCAATTATGTAAGTGTGTATGGGTCTGTTCTCTATGCTGGGATCAATCCTGAAAACCCTTATTCCCCTGGGGCTAAGTTATGCCATTTCAGCAAGGCCCAAACTATGGGGTGTGTGGAGCACTGGGAGGCATCCAGGCTTACCATATGTGACCCTGAACTCCCTAGAGCAGGGAGAAGGCATGCCCATTACTACACCTCTTAATGGGGTGCAGCTTATTCTCCCACCATGCATACTGGGTCCATTATGTAGTGTGGAGGATGGGCTGGGCCATGGCCTCACCTCCCCGCAGCTCTTCTTATCCTCACTGGGGCACTGTGCATCCCTGGTGGAGTAAGGAGAGAGCAGGCTCTGTGAAGGGACTACGACGTTGCCTGGCCCTTACACAGGCCACTGCCAAGAAGGATTCGCCTTGCTCCTCCACCCCACTGTGCATCCATGTAAGGAGAAGGCAGAATCTGGCCCTTCACAAGAAGCCTGGGAAACAAGCAGGGAGAACTGGAAGTCCTGGCACAGTCAAGGAATTATGATGTGATTGGAATAACAGAGACTTGGTGGGATAACTCACATGACTGGAGTACTGTCATGGATGGATATAAACTGTTCAGGAAGGACAGGCAGGGCAGAAAAGGTGGGGGAGTTGCACTGTATGTAAGGGAGCAGTATGACTGCTCAGAGCTCAAGTATGAAACTGCAGAAAAACCTGAGTGTCTCTGGATTAAGTTTAGAAGTGTGAGCAACAAGGGTGATGTCGTGGTGGGAGTCTGCTATAGACCACCAGACCAGGGGGATGAGGTGGACGAGGCTTTCTTCCGGCAACTCACGGAAGTTACTAGATCGCAGGCCCTGGTTCTCATGGGAGACTTCAATCACCCAGATATCTGCTGGGAGAGCAATACAGCGGTGCACAGACAATCCAGGAAGTTTTTGGAAAGGGTAGAGGACAATTTCCTGGTGCAAGTGCTGGAGGAACCAACTCGGGGCAGAGCTCTTCTTGACCTGCTGCTCACAAACCGGGAAGAATTAGTAGGGGAAGCTAAAGTGGATGGGAACATGGGAGGCAGTGACCATGAGATGGTCGAGTTCAAGATCCTGACACAGGGAAGAAAGGAGAGCAGCAGAATACAGACCCTGGACTTCAGAAAAGCAGACTTTGACTCCCTCAGAGAACTGATGGACAGGATCCCCTGGGAGAATAACATGAGGGGGAAAGGAGTCCAGGAGAGCTGGCTGTATTTTAAAGAATCTTTATTGAGGTTACAGGGACAAACCATCCCGATGTGTAGAAAGAATAGTAAATATGGCAGGCGACCAGCTTGGCTTAACAGTGAAATCCTTGCTGATCTTGAACACAAAAAAGAAGCTTACAAGAAGTGGAAGATTGGACAAATGACCAGGGAAGAGTATAAAATATTGCTCGGGGATGCAGGAGTGAAATCAGGAAGGCCAAATCACACCTGGAGTTGCAGCTAGCAAGAGATGTTAAGAGTAACAAGAAGGGTTTCTTCAGGGATGTTAGCAACAAGAAGAAAGTCAAGGAAAGTGTGGGCCCCTTGCTGAATGAGGGAGGCAACCTAGTGACAGAGGATGTGGAAAAAGCTAATGTACTTAATGCTTTTTTTGCCTCTGTCTTCACGAACAATGTCAGCTCCCAGACTGCTGCACTGGGCAGCACAGCATGGGGAGGAGGTGACCAGCCCTCTGTGGAGAAAGAAGTGGTTGGGGACTATTTAGAAAAGCTGGACGAGCACAAGTCCATGGTGCTGGATGCGCTGCATCCGAGAGTGCTAAAGGAGTTGGCGGATGTGATTGCAGAGCCATTGGCCATTATCTTTGAAAACTCATGGCGATCCGGGGAAGTCCCAGAAGACTGGAAAAAGGCTAATGTAGTGCCCATCTTTAAAAAAGGGAAGGAGGAGGATCCGGGGAACTACAGGCCATTCAGCCTCACCTCAGTCCCTGGAAAAATCATAGAGCAGGTCCTCAAGGAATCAATTCTGAAGCACTTAAAGGAGAGGAAAGTGATCAGGAACAGTCAGAATGGATTCACCAAGGGCAAGTCATGTCTGACTAATCTAATTGCCTTCTATGACGAGATAACTGGCTCTGTGGATGAGGGGAAAGCGGTGGACGTGTTGTTCCTTGACTTTAGCAAAGCTTTTGACATGGTCTCCCACAGTATTCTTGCCAGCAAGTTAAAGAAATATGGGCTGGATGAATGGACTATAAGGTGGATAGAAAGTTGGCTAGATTGTTGGGCTCAATGGGTAGTGATCAATGGCTCCATGTCTAGTTGGCAGCCGGTATCAAGTGGAGTGCCCCAAGGGTTGGTCCTTGGGCCGGTTTTGTTCAATATCTTCATAAATGATCTGGAGGATGGTGTGGATTGCACCCTCAGCAAGTTTGCAGATGACACTAAACTGGGAGGAGAGGTAAAGACGCTGGAGGGTAGGGATAGGATACAGAGGGCCCTAGACAAATTAGAGGATTGGGTCAAAAGAAATCTGATGAGGTTCAACAAGGACAAGTGCTGAGTCCTGCACTTAGGACGGAAGAATTCCATGCACCGCTACAGACTAGGGACCGAATGGCTCAGCAGCAGTTCTGCAGAAAAGGACCTAGGGGTTACAGTGGACGAGAAGCTGGATATAAGTCAACAGTGTGCCCTTGTTGCCAAGAAGGCCAATGGCATTTTGGGATGTATAGGTAGGGGCATTGCCTGCAGATTGAGGGACGTGATCGTTCCCCTCTATTCGACATTGGTGAGGCCTCATCTGGAGTATTGTGTCCAGTTTTGGGCCCCACACTACAAGAAGGAGGTGGAAAAATTGGAAAGAGTCCAGCAGAGGGCAACAAAAATGATTAGGGGACTGGAACACATGACTCATGAGGAGAGGCTGAGGGAACTGGGATTGTTTAGTCTACCGAAGAGAAGAATGAGGGGGGATTTGATTGCTGCTTTCAACTACCTGAAAGGGGGTTCCAAAGAGGATGGATCTAGACTGTTCTCAGTGGTAGCTGATGACAGAACAAGGAGTAATGGTCTCAAGTTGCAGTGGGGGAGGTTTAGGTTGGATATTAGGAAAAACTTTTTCACTAGGAGGGTGGTGAAACACTGGAATGCGTTACCTAGGGAGGTGGTGGAATCTCCTTCCTTAGATATATTTAAGGTCAGGCTTGACAAAGCCCTGGCTGGGATGATTTAGTTGGGGATTGGTCCTGCTTTGAGCAGGTGGTTGGACTAGATGACCTCCTGAGGTCCCTTCCAACTCTGATATTCTATGATTCTGACTGATGTAAGTAGCTCCACTGAGGTAAGAACTCCTCATGCCTATAAGGGCTCTTAATAAAGGCAATCAGCTGCCAGCAACAGTAATGGGAGTTATGTGTCTCTCAAGGAGAGCAGAGGCTGCTCAGATTGTGTTTGGCTTCATTAACAATAAGCTAGAATAGCACGGACGTATGGAAAGGAGGTGTGCAGAGGCAGAAACCCATTCCCTCTAAGAAGCAGGTAGCCCTGTCAACTGCATGCAAGTAAGTCCTAAAAATATCTTTACAACATACAGTACAGCTTGAGTTTACAACTGTGCATATTTATTCTAGTTGCTTTTGCTAAATAAAATTAAGCAAATATGTTAAAGTGTTTGTGAAAATTGACTTCTAGAGGCTTTATACAGAAAGATTCAATGGATTGATATACAGAGACAAAATTAATGTTTGTTAACAAAAGAATTATTTTAGTTTTGTTTTAATAACATAATTGAAATACTGAAACGACATCACAATTAAAAACAAAACAAACAAAAAACCCCACCCAATAACTTTAAAATTGGCCAAGGTGCCAATTTGTCTATCAAATTAGCGTGGTGGCATTTTTGTGAAAGTGATCTTGTCCAGAAGGCCCTAGCCAGTGAAAAGCCAATGACACACTAACAAAGGGAAATCCAGGTAAGAGGGATACAACTGCAAAGAATTAGAACATCCACCTAGAACCATATTCAAATTTGGCAGGAAGACTGTGTGTATGCATGGATGTGTATACATATGACAGAAAGGCAGCATTAATATTACATACATGAAGCTACGACCAGATGCCATTTTCCATGCTCCAAGATGAAAAGCATCATTAATAAAAGGGGAAATGGAAACTAAAAAGAGAAAGAAAACTCAAAGAGAAGTCTAAAAGTCACCTCTTTCATGATTAATAGTCCTCAATGGCAAATGTTACATGCACTATTTCCCTCAAAAGCTAGACAAAGTTGTTCCATTTCCCAATGTATTTCCTTCATTTCTTTTCATGAAGAAAGGTTTGAGAAAGCAGATCGCTGGGAAGAAATACTACAAACTTCTAAATTAGTGAAAGAACTTCCAGCATCACTAGTGTATTCTGGGTACGAGGCACTGGAAGAGATGATGTTTTTCAGCCTCTGAAGTGCAATGATTAATAACAAAAGAAGAAATGCTAAGAGGCTGAGAAATATAGAAACATAGACATAGACATTTGATAAGCGTCCAGCTGAGGAATCCACTGAAGTTGACAGGGATGTGGGATATAGCTCCAGAAAAGTCCCATTTTCCATGTTTCCTACTAATCCAGATGAAGGGTCAAGTTCTGACATTTTGTGTGTATTTTTAAGGGAATAGATGTTGTAGTCAAAGGCAGTTTTAGAAGTATAAAAAATGCTGTATTCTAGATGCTTTCATTTTTCCATCAAAACATAGGCAAATTGAGTCACCCTGTGATCAGAGTTATTCTTCACTTCTCAAATCCACAGGTAATATAAGATGCTGTATCCTTCAGTCCTGAAAGAAAAGAAAAATAGAATTAATTTACCACTAGACCAGTGCTTTAATTATTCACCCGAGGGAATATAACTTTAAAAACAGTAAATTATTTCCCCATAAAGTTGACCTCAAGGACTTAAAAAATAAAAGAAAAAAAGAAATCAGTATCTGTTGCTTTATGGGCTGATTTCCCCCAAAAGCAGGGATAGAAGGAAAATTCTGCACATACATCCCACAGCTTTTACTACCAATTAGCCAGATCCAAAACTTCTGATCCAAACAGCTCTGAACTTGGTGTGGGAGGAAGTCTTGGACTGCAAACCCAGATCCAAATTTATCGCTATGTCCACATGGAGCCAAATGAACCCCAGAATCCAAGCACCCTTGACTTTTGTAGAGGAAGGAGATGTTTCATAATGAAGATCCAGATCTGAATTGAGTGCCTCAGGCCCTTTCTATTGATGTCATCTACAGTCATGTTTGCCAGTTCATGCGCCATGTGATGCCTCAACATGAACCAAACTGGTGATATCCCAGCTACTCCCAAACCCTGTTGGAGCATAGCGCTGGCCAAATAAATGCTCTTTCATAATCTATGGTGAAGGTTTGTGCTACAGTATGAGTTCCTTGCTACGGGGAATCTTTACAAAATGCAGGATTTCAGGACTTGGCCATCAACTTTCTGTTTCCACACCAAACAAAATAAAAAAATCCTTGTAAAGAGTTAAGCTTGTAATCCTAGAGCCAAGTTTTTAAGCAAGGTGACAGATGGTAAATCCACTACCACTATTAAACCTATGTTGCTGTGCTGTCTTGTCTGAGGTAACCAGAACCAGGGAATTTGCTATGGCTTATTTATTTTACATTTATAAAATGTGCAGATCTAATTTCACAAAGTGCATATACAAAGATTAAAATGCAAGAATCAAGTCATTACCAGGCTGATCTGCTATTGAGAAGCTATTGAGAAGCTTCAATAAAATACACTTCTCAGCCAAAAACTGCACCTTTTCCTTCTGACACCCACAGCTCAGCAAACTCGGCCTCGGTATAAGAGCTCATCTAGACTAACACTTAGTTCACTGCACTCTGGGGTGCAAATCTACCCTGCACTAACATGCCATGCAATGCCACCCTGCTGCTGCACACTACAAGCTCCCTAGTGTGCTTTAACTTACTCCTGTTTCAAAGCGTGGTCAATCAAAGCACACCACAAAACTTTCTGTGGGTGGCAGGCTGGCAGAAGGGTCCGCATGGACACTTACTGTGGGGCACTCTAGTGCAGGGTAGATTTATACCCCAGCCTGCCATGAACTAATGTTCGTATAGACAAGCCCTAGGAGAGTGGATTCCATAGCTGAGGAGGGCCCTTCCACTGAAAATACCTTGCCTCCAGAACCCTCATGTTTAAATCTGGAGGCTCAGGTGCCTCAGATGATCCCAACAGTCAGGGTACAACTGAGGCAAGAAGCGGTCTCTATACTAGTGGCTTTTGCACCCAGTGTAGCTAAGCCCCAGTGTAGATATGCTGCACCAGAGTTAGAATGGGCTTAGTGAGTGGAAAATGGGTGTAAAATGCTAATATTCTGTTTCGGTAGGTCTGTACGCCACTGTCCATTAACTTTGTACTCATGTCAATAGCTACTCAAGCTATAAGGCATTGGAGAATCACACCAACTACCTACCTATCTATCTACAATCACATCCATCCTTTGAATGCACCTGTTGAATCCTCTTATATTGTTGGGGAAAGGTAGTGATCTTTTCTTCTCCTACAAGAAGAGAACATCTGCAGAGAATCCAAGGCCTCAGCATAAAGCTGAAGGAAGACAGGGGTCCCACCTGTGATGAGCCTGCTTTGGACCTTAAACTTTAGTTTCAACTCAGTTTAAGTATTTTTAACCTTCATTCCCAGGCTTTGAGGAACATTTTTATCTACTCTTTTTAATGCTTTGGAGAGAAGAGAAGGATTTTCCCTTGTCAAGATTTTGCTTCTAAACCTACTTTTATTAGGTTTGTATCTGCACCTTTCTACTATATCGGTGAGCATTCTATACTCTCCAGCTGGGGAAAGTAAGCAAAGCTGATTTTACAGGTGCCTTAAGGCTCTGATGTATCAATCCTGCACAGGTGCAAAAGAGAGGAGGAAGAACACAAGTGGCCCTTTCATTGTTGTGTCCCTGAGAAAGGGAAGACAAATTTGTAGTCTCTGTGCTCCAGGGATGGAAAAGACTGTGAAAGATTAGTGTCATTAACAGCTCTAGACTACCCAGAGGGACCAGGGAGGAGCCTGGGCCAAGGAGCCCAGGTTGCATGCTGTCCAAAAGTAACACAACAGTCATTTTCCCCTGACCTCCTGGGGGCGCTGTACCCTATTTAACCCTAAGTCTCTTTGCACAGGTCCAGTTCAGAATCATGAGTTCATGAGTGAAACAGGAAGTTAAACTTTTGATGCAAGGAACTCTTCAGCCTTCATCTGACATCATCTTAAAGGGCAAAGGGATTGCCCAATAGTAAAACAGAACAAAACAAAACCACACAAATAAAACAAAACTTCTTATTCCCCTTAAATAAACAGAACTACCTATTCCTATAATAAGTGGTTTTTATTACAGACTACACTGGCCGTCTTGAGAGGCCTCGCATTTTCAGATGCAACCAGTTTTAACTAAACATTGATATCGTTATTAAGACCCAGTTCTGCCATTTTTATTCCCATTGAGTAGCATTTTACTTCACAGATAATCCCTTGTGACTTCACTAAAGCTTCCTGCAGCATAAGTTCTATGCCATGTAAATAGCGGTGGCAGAATCAGGCCCTTAAAATAATAATGTTATCACTTTGTGGGTTTTTTTTGGATGTCACACTAAAGCTAAAGTACCTTGGTATGTTTCCATGAAAGTGTTCCAACACTCTTGCCCATAATGCTCTACCTTATAACTGTAACCCCTTGGGGTTTAGAGAGCATGGTCCCTTTAAATCTTTTCCTAAGGGGGGAGGGGAAGCAGTGAGAGAAAGGAGGGAAACTCCAGGTGGGGCTCTGGAGACAGAGAGAGAGAGGGAGAAGGGTGGCGGGGTTCCCAGAAGAGATGGAACCAAATAAAATTGAGGAGAGCCTGGATGCAGCTGAAATACTGGGGAGAGTGAAGGTCCACACTCGTATTTACAACCGCAAAGTGAAGGGCATGGTAGCACTATGTACTCACTCCAAGGAAGCAGATCTTGATAAAGTGCCCAAAGAGGTGCAAGTAGGAGGTATCCTCTGGACAATTTGGGGGCAGAGCAGTCCCCTACTAGTGTGCCTATATCACTTGAGGTGGATTCTTTAGCGCAGAAATTGCAAGCTCTGATGGTGGATGAGGAAGCGGACAAGAGAGGAATTAATTTTGGCATTAGGAGGGGCTCCAACACCCGCAGCACCCAGCCTGGTGGGATGGGCCAAAGAGCTGGGAAACACTCTCAAAGATGCATTGAAGCTGGCCTATGAAAGTACTCCATACAAGCGGTTACGTTCTTTCTCGGAGGTGTCACCTGCACCCTCAGGGGAGGATGATTACAAGACCTGGAGGGATTTTATGGTGCCACTTGTCCAAGAGTGGGAATGCTCTGATTCTGAGAAGCGGAAACATGTGCTTGAGAGTCTGAGGGGACCTGCCATGCAAATTGTCCGAGCCCTGAAAGACTCGCAACCAGCTAACACAGTGCAAGACTATTTAGAAGCTCTTGAGAGTGTCTACGGTGCTACTGATCGCAGTGAAGACCTGTATTATTGTTACCGCCATACCTATCAGGAGCCCCATGAACGATTGTTGGATTTCATCAGGAGACTAGAGCATTTGCTACAGCAGGTAGTGCGGAAGGAGGGCATCCCCATCAAGCACATTGATTCCGCTAGGTTGGACCAGATCCTTCAGGGCACCTGACAAGATGGATTGATGCTGTGGCGACTGCAGCTGAGGTAGTGGGCCCCAAACCCACCCCCGTTCCACAAGCTCATTCGAGAGATACGTGAAGAGGAGGAGCAATTGTTGCAAGTGGACGCAGTGGTGCAGCCGAAGAAGACAGGGAGTCACACCATGACAGTGCTTGGAGAGATGGAAGAGGCCCCATCAGTGGCAGCAGCACTGAGAGATTTGACCCGAGAAGTGGCCATGATGAAGGCTCAGGGACATACTGTGCCATCCTCAAGTGGGGAGAGTAGCAGGAGGGGTGATAGCCAGCAAGAAGGTTTCTGTTACAACTGTGGGAGAGATGGGTCACTATGCCTTGGACTGCCAAAACAAGACGGATCATGCAAGGGTATCTCAGAGATTGCAGCAAACCATTAGGGAGCTTCAGGGAAACACCAATGGGGCTTGGGGAAGGAGCAACCCAAGACCCTGAAATCCCAAGGCTCCCCAGAGAAAAACACAAACAGGGGTCACCCAGATGGGCTGGTAGACCCTCAGGCTATAGTACCTGTTCGTATAGAAGGATGATTGTATGAGGCATTGCTGGACAGCAGATCACCATACTTTATGAATCTTACTACCAAGAATACGTACAGCATTTACCCTTGCGTCCCCTGTCTAGCCTGACAGTATGGGGAATTGGCTGTGACTCCTGCTCCTATCGGGGATATATTCTGTTGAATGTCCGGTTTCCAAAGAACGTTGCGGGAGTAAACCAGGAAATAGAAACATTGGCACTGGTCTGCCCAGATCAGTGATCAGAGATGGCAGGGAACAAATATCTGCGGGAGCTGCCAATGCACGCTTTATGTAAAGCCGCATACCAGCGAGCGAGGGGCCCCCCATCCCAAGAGGAGACCAAGGCTAGACCTTTTGGGAGGAATAGATTCCAGTCTGGGGTTTCCCCCATTCCTGCTGAGTGGAAGGACCGCCTGTGTGAAAAGTTAGTCAAGAGGAAAGCTGTTTTCTCTATGCGCAAGTGGGATGTTAGGTGTGCACATGATGTGGAACACCATATCCAAATGCAGGATGGTCGGCCTTTTCGAGAGAGGTCAAGATGATTAGTC